AACATAATTTATAATATAGTATTATATTTTTATTTGTTACTTTAACAAGTAAATATGAAATATTACCTAAATAATAAAATAATGTATTTTATTATAAATCATAGGGGTACAAAAGTGGCTCACACCTATAACTTTTTTTATTTTTTCAGATAAAAACAGAGATTTCGTATGTTAGTATATGACATAAACTAGGATTGATTGACGCATTCAATCATTATTGGTCACTTCCTGTTTCATATGAAATTACTGAAACTTTTGATTTCTAAATTGCACCCTCGGTATATTTTTAATTTATTCAATAGAAAATGACACTCACACTGAATAGAATGACATATCATATATCAACTTTTGACATTTTCACTTAAAAAAATCGTATTTTAAATTTCAATCTAGAGTGCCATGGCTGTTAAAAACAGTAATTTTTAATCAAGGATCCTTGGAAAAATAGATTTGATCGTCTAATGTTTTTCGTGTCTTGTACTGACCGGTTAAAAGATGCCCAAAGATCGTATTCTTAATCATATCTCAATTTTTTCAAATGGAACAAAGGTTGCTTCTTAGCATATTTGGAAAAGGCATATTTTCACGAATAATTTGGTACCACACACTTGGTATTTCGAGTCAAATTGTCGTTATAAACCGCATGTTACAATTTCAAATAAACAATATGCGAAAGTGTCAAATGTTGACATATGATGTCATTCTATTCAGAGTGTCATTTTCTATCGAAGTAAAAAAAATACCGAGGGGGTCATTTAAAAATCATAGTCATTTCAAGTGAAACAGGAAGTGACCAAAAACAATTGAATATGCCAATCAATCCTAATTTATGTATATGATACAGTTAAGGTCCGATATTCGGTTAATATATCAACATTAACCGGGTAATCTCGATAATAACACACAACAAAATAACCAAAAACCTAACCAAACCCAAACATTAACCTGCTAATGTCGATATTAATCGAACATCGGACTTTAACCGTAACATATACAGATTGTTAACTGGACGGTTACTTATTGGGGAACAGAATGGCAACACTGCATACATTCCAAATGAGTACTAAGTTAAGCTGCCGATTCATCCCGTAGCGTCGTCTCTCGACGAGCGGGCCGAGGTTGCCATATTTCAACCAGAAAGCTCTTGCCGCGAGTAATAAATAAATTAACAACCTGTATACTACCACCAAATTTCATGTTTTTATCTGAAAAAATAAAAAAAGTTATAGGGGTGAGCCACTTTTGAGACGCACCCAGCAAATGCATTATTTACCCGTCTCCTTGCATAAATATGTAGATTCCGTTGTTATCAGAAAATATCAATCTTTCTAATCACTTATTTAGGCGTCATATATTATATCCGACAGTAGAGATATGAAAGTTTTTTATTTAACTTACTTGAATAATATGCAATAGTATTAATCAAATAAACTAGTCTTTCTCATTCCCCCATTAGAATGCACGAATAGTTAATATTATACTGTTTATCATTTTCATTTTGAAAATGTTTTGCGCAATAGTAATTTTTAACAAACGTAGAAATTTTAAAGCTTCTTGGTCGTAACCCCATTAGCTAACTCTGTCATTCTGTATATTTGCAATTATGGTGTAGCCTCCATCACATATTTATACTCTCTTTGTAGTTGGGCCCATTGTTGTATACTGTTGGCTATGCGAGCCAAAGTTATCCCTGCTAATTTCTTAATATCATTGTCCCATCTCAGGTTTAATCTTCTTCTAGGTCTCTTCATTCCTCGTGGGTCCATCCTTCTTCCCAGGTGTCCTGCTCATTGCCACTTGAGGGATTTGATTCTATGGATGACATGTATTACCTGGGTCTTTTGTCGTATCCCTTCTATTATATTTTACGGTCTTTTTTGGTTATTCCAAGCATATTTCGTTCCATTCAGCGTTGTGCGACCTCAAGAACGGTAAACTAATAGGATTGCTCATCCTCATAAGACGTACGTTCGCCTCATCCCGTGCTTTAGCTGACAGTTGTGACGTCATTGTAGTCCTTGTCATGATAGTGTGTATTATTGGTTGCCTAAGGTAAACTTACAAAAACAACAGCGGAGAAATGTCGAGTTAATTATTTTGTCGATTTTAAATATCAAAAAGGTGTTTTTAAAGTTTTTAGAGCTATAGAGTGTATAAATACGTTCATTTTGTGTTGTGGATTGTGACTAAGTGCTTATTAAGTGTCCACGATATTATTTATTAATTATTTTAAAGCAAACTATGAAGTACTCTAAAAAGAATACCTGCAAAAGGTGAGGCTGGGAACTGCTGTTCTTAAAAATGCATTATCCGGGTATTTAATACGATTTATACAGTTAATTTTCTATACTTCATACATATAAGGTGTTTAAATAAATAAACTAAATAATGAATGTTTTGCATACGGCAACCAATAATACACACACTATCATGACAAGGACGACAATGACGTCACAAAGCGAGGAGTTTTCGCATGCACCTGGCAGATACTTTCGGCTGAATGAGCAGTCCTATTAGATTAACTGTTCTTGGTGCGACCTGCAGTTTCTTTATAATGTCCGTTTTTCGCATGCATAGGTCATGACTGGTAGTACAAATTAGTCGAATGTATTTTCTTTAGATAAAGTAGCATTCTAAATTTGAATAAGATTGAGTTTCTTCCATAAGTACTCCATACCAACTTCATTCTTCTGTTGATTTCTGGTAGTAGAGATCTCAAGCTGTGTATTACTTGTCCCAAATACACAGGGTTGTTCACCACATACGACACGGAGTATTGTAGCTAAACGATTAGAATGTTACAAATTGTAAGTTTTGAGTTCGTTTAAGGACTATGAGAGCTACAATTTAAAAATATTTTTACAAGACGCAGGGCTAAATAAGTTAAAAATATTATAGTTGTTTTTTTAAATGAAACACCCTGTATATTATTCTATTTTTAGATTCTACGATTGAAATAAAGATAAATTTGATTAAGATTTATCACACTTAAACCTTACCGTTTTTGAAATATTTTCAATTTTGTGAAATTGCAGTAAAAAATTTAATGCCTTTCATTTCTACAAGGGTATCAAAGTATTTAATACCGTATGATAGAAAAAAAACGGCGTCCAGTTGGCTGGGAAATGACGATCAATGACAGTTCCCATATAAAATGACAGCGATCTTCATTTCATAGCCATCGCTAACGCAGTTTTTTTTCGATCATACGGTACTAAATATTTACTGAAGATTATTATTGATCAGATATTGAGTTGCAATAATAAAAATTATACTACCTAATATAGTTTACTACCTAAAGTAAATATAGTTTATTATTAGTATTTTTAATATTTTTAATAATTGTTTTAAGAAAGGCTGAATAAAATATATTTTTTACTTATTTATATCTCTGAAACTATCGAAATATATTTATTCATATCTTAGGATTATGTAAAGTGACCTGAAAGGAAGCCGAAAATGCAATAATATACAGGGTGTTCCATTTAAAAATCACCCCGATCCACTCGACTTTTTCGAACCACCCTGTACAAGTTAAAATATTTTTCTGAAATACATACTAATGTATACTTTAGGTTTGCACTTTTTTTCCAAGTTTTTTTATTCTAGGAGCTACAGATGCCCGACGCACTTTTGCCGGACCTTGTATTATGGAAGCTATGGAAGGAAACAAAATATAAAACATCATCTACCTTACGAATAAATATTGTACGTGTACGTATTTCTGTCAAAACTACACAGTACCACGGCCACATAAAGAAAGCCAGCTGAAGAAATTATGGTAAGGAGTGTCCAAATGAGTAGGTGCACGGACATTGTCTACTTACAAAAGCTTTTCTCTGACAGACGGAGCCGGTATCCGTATTTCTTGCGAGATTTACATAACAATTATTTCGTTAAATAAAAACTAACCTCCTTATAAGGACTGAGTCTTAATCGACCGCGTGAGGTTAAATATGTGACCCGGGTATTATTAGCGAGAGAAATATTAAACATATGTTATTTACTTCATTCAAACTAACGAGACTGACAAACTAGATTTTATAATACCGATATAAGTTCTAACATCAACTGATAAAAACATGCGATATTTAAAAGTTTATACAGGATGATTACGACGATGGTAGGTTAAAGGTTTATACGGAACCGTTGATAGGATATTTTATAAAATTGTCAAAAACATGACATTGAATTGGTATAGTCTGTCCAACGGAAGAATCCCTGACAGTTATAGGTGTCTGCCATTTTAATTCAAAGGCAAATTGTTTTATTTGTCATTTAAAGAACAGGCTATAGATCACGAATTGGTAAAATGAAGAAATTCAGCATATTGAAAGTTGAAATGCGGTTTATATGTTAAGGAAAGTCCATATCACATATTATGGACTGAAGAAACCGGAAGTCTCTTCTTCAAAGTCTTCTTCAAACAATTTTTTTTAGTCTTCTTCAAACAAAATTTCTTTTTCAAAAATGTAATAATATACCGGGTGTTCTATGCGAATACTGTGTCTAACATAGTAACGCTGAAAATAATTTAGGCAGATGGTGTCTTTATGTAAAAATCCGAACAATCAGCAGTTCTTCATAAATATATCTCTGAATTATAATACGTACTTTATAGTTTATACCAAAGACATCTAAATAAAAGGAGACGAAACAATTTACATTTTACCGCGATCAGGAACCGTGTTGCACAAAAATCGATGATGCCAATTTTAAGTGACCGGTGGTAGATTTCGGCTGATTACGGTTTGAGTTCTAAATGCTATTGTCATTACAAGGTCATTATTAGACTAAATATTTGTGTAGATATATAATTTTAATTATAATACATTAATTATACTAGGATTATACCTTTGAAATTATTATTAGTTTTCTAATTAAATTATATTAAAATTACGATTAAAATATATTAGGGAAATTACTAAAACAATCCGGCATCGCTACGGATTAATTTTACTACGAATTGTCGGAATCTGTAGGAATTACGCTGACATTTGACGTATTAATTCAACTTTTGTCCAACGGAGCATTGTTGCGAGTTTTCTGCGACCGTTGGAAGTGTTTGTGGATTTCGGACAACTTTCGAATAATTATTAGTGTTTATTGCAAAGAAAACTATTTAAAGTAGTTTTTTAACTATCTACAATGGTTCGCCAGTGCATAGTTTGTTAAAGGTGGACTATTCTAACTCCTGATTGATATTTGGACGGTAAGTGTTATTACATTTTTTTACCTTTAGCAATGCCTTTACAGTAGCGTATCTAAGTACTTTTAGTTATAAGTAGATTATTACAAAAATACGTATATTTTCTTATTTGCTGGCGTTTTTGATTGTGAAATTAGACTTATCCTTAGTTAGACCTCAGGCAAAAACCTTGGCAAAAACCGATCTACGTTTTTAAGTCAATTATTTTATGTATTTGTCCATTTTGCTGTTACAGTTGGTGGTAAAAATGCTCAGGGGTAAATACTGGCTGTTCTCAACTTAACATTTAAAAACCTTTTTTATATTATATATCTAAGTGCCAACTAACATATCTGAAACCGCTATAAATATCTTAAAAATTGTGTATGTTATGGCTAATATCTGCTGAAATAAAACAGCTGTTGCTAGTATAGGTAGTTAATACCTGAAATTTGAACACGATTTGAACATCAAAATTATTCAGTTATATTCTATATTAACTATGTACCTTATTATGGCTAAAGCAGTGCTTAGTATGCTAAATTAGTATGACAAAATTAGCTAATGTTCAACTAAAGACATTTAATTTTTATAATTACTTCAGACTTTGGCTAGATAATTTCCACATTTCTCCCCCAATGTTGAAAGAAAACTGTTTTTGCAATCTAAATATTAATTTTATTGAACTCTAGTTAACATTAGCAGGTTTTAGATATTAGCCGTAACACATATGATAGATCTATTATTTATTTATTATAAAAAATTCTATAAGTAATTACCTAATAGGTAAGGTTTAGATATAGGTATTCAAAATTCAAATTAAAAAAGTTAATAAATTAAATAAAATTATAATGATGCTTCAGTACTTAAAAAATATGCATTGTTTTGAATGATAATGATAAGCCTTACTTATGATAATTCTTTACTCTTTCATTTATGATATTTTTTTTTAGTTTTGGAACCCTTTACACTTTTACCCACACTTACCTAAACACCCACACACACACAATTCACAGGCGAGTACATATCTGGTGTTTTAAATAGAGGAAAATAAACCTTGGAAAATTTTTCCTTTAGGTTAATTTTTCCTTTTTTTTTACCGCATATTTTTATTATTTTACATATATTATTAAATAGATTTATAATACTTAATATGTATGTGTTGCATATGTAACCAATAGTACTTTTGTAGCGTTCCTATAAATACTGAGCTTAGACAATGATCGATTTCACTCTTGAATTTGAAAAATCAAACTAACGTGTGTCCAAATTTGTTCTGATGATTTTGATAAGAGCAATATTATGATCGCCGAATTAACTGATCGAAGGCAAATAAGACCAAATTCTGAGCCTCAAATAGATAGTACCATTTTTGCTGGGGCTTTATCATACAGGTAAAAAGCAGTCAAATACATTTTAACAGTTAATAAATAAGTATTGTACTAATATTAGTATTTACTCTAGGTTTTCTTCTAGTTTGTACCGCCACCCAAAAAATGTTTTAGGTAAATGAACCTCCAGACCAGCTGAGGGACTAGAGAAGGTCCCTACCTAGTCCCGCGATTGGCAGTTTGGCTGGCCCCTCAAATTTGTAAGAACATTGATACATTTTATACATGTATTTTAATATTGATAATTAATTAAAATTCACAGGATTTTGCCTAAAATCATACAAGATAAACTAGCCCTTCTCAAGAAGCCCTTCCCTCAAAACAACAGAAACGGCATTGGAAAAAGAAGTTGGAATTAACCAGTATGTGCTCTTTGTAAGTGTATTCTGGATGTTTGACTGACAAGGCTTAAAAGCTCTTGTATTTTTAACAGAATGGGAATATAGCTGTATTCATAACAAAGTAATATATATAATATAATAATAATATAAAATGCTAATGTTTATCTGTGTCGTCTCTACTGAAGTAACGACTTGCTCTAGAAAGTTGCTTTTTTTACTAAAAGATAGCTAATTGGCTCATCGCCGGATTTTTTATTTTTCATTTAATTAAAAAAAATAATAAGTATTTTTTTTTCCTGATGTCGTGGCGGATGCGCCAGGCTTCAACTAGTATGTAATATATTTTAAATGAAATACTCTCATTATAACTATTATTGTCAAGTAGTGTACTGTGCCTTATTGAATACAGGTGTACACCCTCTTGCGAAGTATTTACTTTTTAACATACAGGGTGTCACAATAGTAAGTTTAATTTTGACATATCCAGGTATTCTTTAAAAAAAAATTGAGACGCGAAATTTCGTAGACACAATTTTTGCGGTAAAAATCTAAATACATTCTTAATCATACTTTTGACGTAACTATAGTAGACGGGATACTTTGACACATTGAGCTTTTTCAAAATAACATTTTTTCTGCTTTTGTTTGCCGTCTTAATTATTTAAAAATTGACATCTCTATCTTTCTTGCAGAAAAGGGGACACTTTGTTTATGTCATTAGCAGTAATAGATTTCAAGGAAGCTGTTATAATATTTAATAGAACAATATAACGTAATATAACATTACTAATATCACTTTGTATCTTATTAATTAAGCACTTTATGGGTTTACTCTCCTATCTTAATTTTTATAAAAATACGAGACTTGTTGCTTCTCATTGTCAAGCTTTATCGGTCGAATATCCAGAAATCCTGTATAATTAACATAGCTATCTTTTATTTTATATGTTTTGTCAAGGATATGTTATTTGGAATTATCTTCCACATTATAAGATCATAAACTACATAATTTTTGCCATAGTGTTGGTTTTTGTTTACATATATTTTCTATGAGTGAGCTTCTGTTTTGCACTAGAAAACATTCTCGCTTAATGATAAATTTAATACTATAGAAGGAAATTATTAGTATTTAGGAAAAAATTAAAAACGAAAATAGGTTTTATTGAAAAATTAATTATTAATGTTTTTTTGTTTGTTTACAGCATAGTAAGACAATCCTCATCTTCTGATCTCTCAATAGTTGGATATTTATTATCTCAAGAAAGTCGTCAAAGTATCAGAAAAAGGTAAAAATTACCTCTACATTATATACAAGGTGGTGCCTCTCCTACGACGCGGAGGCTCCAAAGAGAACGGTGGTTTTTATCGTTAATGTAATTTTGGGAGCATATGTAGGATAATGGAAAGCATTTTATAGAAATATCAAGAGTTCTGCGGGGTGTCCCCAAAAAAAGTTATGCATCAAAGTTTTTTTTTGTAATGGAACACCTATATATTAATTGATTTTCGGATTCTAGGAAAGAAATAAAGGTGAGTTTCATTAAAGAAGCATATGTCTAAAATGTAAGGCTTGTCATATTTCACATTTGGTGAAAATAATGAATAAACTTTAAATTTCAATAACAGCTACCTAGATGGAAATTTACTCATTGTATATTTAACCAAATTAAAATTTGACCTTAAGCATTCTATTAATTGATGAATGCACACTGCAATTAAAAGATCGGAATAGTATTCTGGGTGTTCAAATAAAAGGGAACTTGCTGTGTTCATTTCAAATAAAAGGGAATAAAATTACATTTTAGTCCAATAATGAAATTCACCTTTATTTTTCTCATAGAATCCGAAAATCAAATAATATATAAGGTGTCCCATTCCAAAAAACAAAACTTTGTTGTGTAACTTTTTTGGCGACACCCTGTAGAACTCCATATTTTAAAAAAACACATATTTTATCACATTTATATGTTTAAATGCTCTAAATTAACCTACATATACTCCCAAAATTTAATTTCAATACAAACTCTTTCTCCTTGGTAGCATTTAAGAGGCGCCACCCTGTATCTTAAGTAAAATTGTGCATAAGTTATTTTAATTTCAGAAAGAAGTATGTTAATGAGGCATTATAATGATATTATGTAGAAATTTAAGTCTTGTAAAAATTTGGAAACAAAGAAAATGAAAAATACATACTTTACAAATAGGTCTTAGAAGATTGAAAAATAAAATAATATCAATGCATCAGTTAATTGATTACTTAAAAGAAAAAATTTGATAAGTGTATCAACTGAATTGACCATTCAGGTATGAATATAGATATGCAGGGTGACATTTTAAAAACATAATGGTTATAAGTCAAAGTAAAGTAATATATGTGAGGATCCAAAAAAATATAAAAATCAAGTAAAAATCGCCAAAAGCAATTTCTCATAATTGAAGCTGTATCTCTTACTGTTTCTGAGATCCCAGTGCTTGTAATTATTATCTTGGACACACTATTTTATGTATATATTTGAGTGGCGGGCGGAGGGGAACTATAATAATGTTAAGTTATCAGCCATTTAATAATTTAGTCCTACAGCCATTATGTCAAAATCTGTCCCCAAGATTCGTTAACAAGTTTTAAATTTAGTTCTGGTCTAATTTTGTAAATGATACACTAATCCATATGACAGTGGCATAAATACGATTAATGGAAGGTTCTAATTTCCATGACAAGGCCAGGTCTAAATTTTAAAACCCTTTAGTGAATTTGGATGTGTGTCTAAAAGACTAATAATAATATTATAGAGATATAACATTAATAGAGATAATATATGTTTTTTTAGGCTTCCTTAGCTGAACCAGTACAAAGTATTTTTGAAAGAATGTTAAAAGGACCTGCCACACAAAAATCCAATCTTCTGCTACTATCCTTTGCTTTAACATTGTCATTTTATTCGCCGAAAACATAGAATTTTATAAGGGATACATAAACTGGCCCAGGGTTTTCTTAGGAGGCCTCTAAATTCCATTTAGTTTTCAACAATATTTTTGATATTTTTAACTCTCAGAATGGATTTACAATATTCATATAAAAAAATTATCAAAAATATAAGAACAACATACTTTTTAATAATTTTGAAATAATTAAATTGTATATTGGACTTACTTTAAAAAGAAAGGCCAACCATAGTCACAAAGAAAACGGGATTTTTGGGCTTTCTAATTTGTATGGAAAGCTTACAACGTATGTGTAAATACTATGTAAAAAAGAAAATCAATTATTAAAATATATTTTGGACTAACTGGTGGAGGTCCACGTATACAAAAAAAGCAAAAACGGAAGATAATATATTCAATGTAAAAATGAGAAGAGCATTGTGGGATTAAAAACATGATGGTGATAGATTGTCTAAAAACTAATAGGAATACTGGTATTGTAAGTACTAACCTTTCATTGTGTTTTGAATTTTTATTACTTTTAAGAGAATTCAATATATTTAGATATTTTTCAGTCTCAAAACAAAAACTGATGGTTACAAAGAAACAGAAGAAAAGGGAAGATATTAATTTACTTCAGACAAAAGGCTGTTCTTTTGTAATATAGAGATGGGCAAAATTCAAAGTAGTAGTATTCAAAACAGAGAAGAACATAAGCTAAAGAAAAAAAGGGTTGTTAGACATTGAAATAAAAAGAACAGTAAAGTTCTCAAAGAGAACTTATTTAATAATTTTAATTAGTGTTTATATTGTAATGTAAAAATGTAATGTATGTTATTTCTGAATAAAAAGACATTTAATAATGATATTTTATAGAAATTAATACTCAAGAGATTTAATAACAACATAAAACATGTTTAGAATAAGTTAAAAAAAAATATTGCCCTAATCTTTCAAAATAATTTATTATTTCTTCTTATTAATAATTTGGTCCATATTTATTTCATCTAACGGCAGCAGCTCTTGTTCAGGCATCATTCTGGCTGTATTGTGTAGCACATTGAAACAACAAAATCTAAAAAATTTAAGTACATACATTAAGTTTTTTAAATTTTGTTCTATAATTGAACAGATAATATTTTTTCTTAACAAACTGTTGTGCAACAATAACTGACATTGCATTTTGTAATTTTGGTTTTATACCATAAAACACATATTGGAAAGTGGCGTTTCCATATAACGATAATTCTGAAACATTTCTTCAGCTGTATTTCTGCATATATCCCCTCAATGCATATGCAATCTCACCTTATAACAGATAATAAAATAATTTAATAGAGTATATGAACCCTTTGAATATTATCACATTTAATTTTAAAAATTTCTTTTAATTCATCTTTTTCGTAATATATTTCTGAATTGAATACCTACTCAAATATTTAAGGAATATATTTTATATAAATGATCTAACAGTAAGTAAATATACGGACCACTAACCAAGCAGGATTTAATTTGAAAAGTCACCAGTCCCCAAGCGGGTCCTTAATGTCCAAAAATGGTGGCTTCATGCACAGACCCATGCCAACAAGCAATCAAGTCTATAGTTTTAAGACTAGCATTTCCAGTAATTTAAATGTTGGGGAAAATAATGCTTTTCTATTTCTAAATACCTCTCCATCAATACCCCCTGTAAAGTATAAGAAACCTTGTGCTGATAAATATTGAAGAAAATATATAGGTACTTACCAGGTGAATGTTTTCTTACATTGTGTTCCATCAACTATCCCTATAATCCCAGGAAACCCAAATATACTATAAAATTGTTGTTGATTTATGGCAGTTATGCTGTTGTTTCTGGAAATACTAAAGAACAATGGTTCAAAGTATAAATATAATTAATTTATCTTACATTAGATTTACTAGCATTCCAACTTACCTCTCATTTTGATATTCTAGATTTTGTTCAATTAAACCGAGGTAATTAATAATGATATATATTACAGTGTCGTTTAAAAGTCTCTGTCCTAAAAACTTAAGGAGGTTCATTTCTTGGCAATATGATTTTTCCTTACATCCATTCTTGAGGAAATCCATTTTCAATGAATATACCTACTGATCGACGTCTAGGATATCAAAAGTAATCATCGAACTTACGTAGAGGTATCATAATACATTTTTTAGCTTTCTCAAAGGAATAACAATAATTCTTCCTCGTAAAACAATATTTTTGTGTCTAAGATAGGTTAAGTGACCACTAGCCTGGAAATTTGACCGCTTAATTTAAATATAAATTCAAGTTAGATTAAAGCATAGTGCAAGAAAATAAGCTAAACATAGTGTTAAGTTTTGCTTAAAAAACTTGGTGCAAACGCCCCTACATTGTATATTATCGATATTACTACGTATATTACAAATTAAAATTTAAATTAAAATACACAAAATAACTATTTTAAAATTTTTGATAAAAAAACACCACACCACCGTCACGCCACTGATGGAGTGAAATGACAGAAAGAAAGACGAAACACAACCGTATTGTCATATTTATGTACCTATCTATTTTTAACTCTCATAAAAGTTTCAAACTATGTATGATTCTAAAAAATTGAGTTTTATGAATGGAGTGTTCTGTCTACCTATTTAGATGTCTTTGGTTAATACCCTACTAGTGTGTACCCGCGACTTCGTTCGCGTCGAATTAATAATTTGTAATGGTGATAAAGCAAAGCAAGAATTTCCATTAACATACAAACTGGATAGAATTTTCTCACATTTTGTCAACATGAGAATAAACAATATGGCGATATTATTATATAACTTGGTAATATTTGAGGGATAGTTTCATATCGTTGGAATTTGACTTTCGAGAAATCCGTTTGCTAAAAATAAGCTTTTTACGTCAATTAGTTTAAGCAGAATCATGGTTGATCAATTACCCAACTTTTTGGAACACCCTGTATGATTTTTTAAAAAATTTCAAAATATGTAAAAAAACAAAATAACTTATGCTTGTCCAAGCGTTTTCCCGAAAGACTAACCGTTTTTTTAAATAACAATTATTGTAATATTTGAGGCGCGTTTCATCCTCTTGGAATTTGAGATTCGAGAAACCCCTCCTTATCGAACCCACACCCCACAGTCAATCCGTTTGCCAAAAATCAGCTTTAAACGTTAAGCAGTTTAAGCAGAATCGTGATAACTCAATGGTCATATTTTATGAAACACCTGTATAAATTTTTAAAAAATGTTAATATATGTAGGTAAAACAACAAAATGAAATATACCTGTTTAAGAGTTTTTCCGAAAAACTCACCGGTTTTTAAATGATAAATATTCTAATATTTGAGGGGTGGTTTCATCCCCTTAGAATTCTAGATTCGAAAAATCTCTTCTTATCGAACCTCTACACCCTAAAGTCAATCCGTTTTCCAAAAATCAGCTTTTTACGTCAAACGCTTTAAACAGGATCGTGATTAATCCATGACCAGATTTTTCGGAACACCCTGTATACATTTTTAAAAAATTCTAAAATATGTAAAAAACAAAATAAAATACACGTGTTTAAGCGTTTTTTCGGAAACTTGACCGTTTTTTAAATAAAGAATATTGTAATATTTGAGGGGTGGTTTCACCCCCTTGGAACTGGAATTTCGAAAAATCCCATCTTATCGAACCTCTACACCCTAGAATCAACCTCTATGCCAAAATTGAGCTTCTTACGTTGAGTGGTTTGAGCAGGATCGTGATTAATCAGTCACTTAAGGATTTTATATATTAGTATAGATATTGTCAAGAGCAAGAATTTAAGTATTTATCATAAAAATAAATCACCCAATATATTAAATAGAATATATTTCTATAAACATAATATTTGCACAATAAAAATTAAACTAGAACAAGTTGACGTCAGACTAAGATCTGAAGATGAACTTTGTTTAATTCTTATTGTTGTAAATATCAATATGTAGAATAATTAAAGGGTAAATGAGAAGAGAGTTTTGGGGCTCTCGGGGAGAAGGAATCAAGAAGTCACGCTGTTCAGTTGAGTTGAGTTCTCCAAGTATCATAATAACAGCAAAGTAAGTTTATAATTTTTTATATATTTTCTCTTAGTATATTTTATTGGTCAAAAGGTATTCTACTTGACATTTCTCCTACCCGAATTAATGTATTTAATTCTTTAATAAATTTATACTTTATTTTTATATATATTGATTTTTTCAATGATCTTCGATACCTAAAACGTCC